ATCTGTCTGGGCTACTGCCTGGATGACCGTGCACAGATGTCAATTTCGAATATTTCATCGGTCAGCAGGAAGACTTAATGATTTTCAGTAAGTAATATTAGCGAATTCACAACTGAGGAAGCACTAACGGTGCTTTTTACCCCCCAGTTACCACTGGGCCCCAGGCTTCCAAAGGGATCGGTGCGTCTGTTGCCAATCCACTGCTATTTATGGCGTTTCGTGGTCTCGTGGCATGCCCCGGCAACCGGCGGAAGAATGGCGCTCTCGCCACAATTGAAATGTTAGCGTAATAGGATTAACATATTGAATCCTACTTATTTTCCATTCTTTTATTCGTTTTGTTGGTGCCTTCACCCCGCCCGTTCCCCTTTTGTGCGCGTGGAGCCCTCTATTGATTCCGAAGGAATTAATCCATATGTTGATTTGCTTCGAGTTGAACTCATCTTCATTCACCACAACATTTTGCAGAACAGCGTAACAGGTCTACAGCGCTTAACATACATCTCGGTGACTTCCTCGGGATTGGAAATCTGTGGTGCAGATTTCGACCCACACGGGACGCCAACTGCGGTTGCCGGTTGCACATCTCATGTCGTCGACCTTCACGCCTTAAAGTTGCTAACAAATGCCCGAGTGGCGTAATATTCTTCAGGAGAATGCAACTCCAGGCGATGCGTCAATATTTGCCCTCGCGCGGTTTCCGACGGTGGAATCGATTTCTAACCAATCGGGGAAGTTGAGAGCCACAGCCTATCGTTCCGCTCCGTGCCCGCGTACTATTCTCGCGGCCATAGCCACGATCAGCGCAGTTGTTTTGCTCATCTTTTTTTGTTCGCGCGTTTTCGAGAGGCGTACCATCCAGGACTTTCGAAGCCGCAGCCTGTCGAGCTCAGAAGACAGTGATCAGGAAATTGATGTGTGCGGCCTCTCTAGTGAGGAAGAGGAGGAACAAGAGCACCCCAGTCCGCGTCTCAGTTTTCCTGCTGGAGAAAAGCAGCATCTTCCCCTCAAAAAGAGATTGTTGACACTACCGCGGGAAGCCGACTCTCGTGG